ATACTTACAATAAGTAAGCTATTTTTTGTCTACACTAGAAATTACTAGGAAATTATTTATATGGCAAAACAACGTTTGCCGGGTCACCTAGTATAAAAATATAATTTTTGGTAGTCTTCATTGCTTGAAGCGTCTCTCCAAAACTCCTTAATAACAATAATGGTATATAAACATTATATTCTTAAACTCTACGTATCGCAGTCTTATGAGATCATCGGGTATTGCAATGGAAAACTAAAAAATAAAAAACCATTACATCTTTGGTAAGCCTCTAGGGCAATGGAGGGGTGAAGAGGGAAAAAGAAAAGGGATGGAAGGTGATGGGGACATATATACAATATTTACATTATTTACAACTTATGTCTAAAGAATACAGTGCCTAAGGCACCTACTATAAAAGTTATTATGTATAATACTGTTATAGCTAAGGCTGTTCAGTCTTAATATCTGATATGTTGTTATACCCTTTGCTGCTGCTCTCCTTGCAGCCGCGAACGATGTTGTCTTTTCTCTCTGGCTCTTCGTCTAATCTCGTCAATGTGTTTGGCATCATTCTGAAGCCACCAGTAATTCTTCGACAGTCTATCCAGACTTTGATGGTCTTTAAGTGATAAGGCTCTCAAGTAGACCCATTTATCGTTCGGTATATTTTCTATATCCGTCCAGATTGCTTTTTTAGCACAATGTCTTTGGATGCTGTGCTATCAGATCGTGGGTAAATCTTACCCTCTCCCTGTGCCACTGGGATTGCAGACAATGAAAGTTATCCATGTCTGAACACATGGACACGATTCGCTTTCATAGTGTGCCACTCCGGCGTGCCCGCCAACTTCGGTTACACTCGACTTCTTTCGAAATCCCAAACACACGGACTCCCACCATCACTCCCACCATCACTACCACCACCACGATCTCCCGTCGAATGATCGTTTTCATCGTTTTCATGATAGGGTTTGGGAAATTGATGAGTAAAAAAAAAAAGGTCATCAACTTGGACACTTTTTCCGACTTTTTCAAAATTTTGTCCGAGATTTGTCGGATTTCAAATTTTCCCGGGNTTTGGGACGGTCTACCTCTCTGATGATCCAGAAATGGTGAAGAGGGGGTTTTTCCAAGCCCAATGATCATAACACCTACGGTYATTGTTCTCTTCGCAATGGTTTTACGCATTCAACATCACGTGTAATAGGCAATAGCCTGAGGCACAGCTGGGCGAGCAAYTGCTCGACGTATGCTCAGAGTTAAACTAGATGTAGTCTAGTACGTAGTAGGCATAATACTAGAATTATACAGCTACTGTAATGTCAATAAGTTAGCGGCATTTGCAGTTACCTTTCACTTTAGGTAAAAAATTATTTAAGAGTTTTAATTCTCCAGCATGTCGTGTTTGAAAAAAAAAATATAAAGAGTAAAACATTTCTACATTTTAGAAAAAGTAGTTGGGTAGATTCAGTTGAATGCGGTGGATGTTGTAATATTTAGTGGTGTATTGTTTATCTCTATTCTTTATTCTTTATTTCACTGCTGCATGCATTATTTGCAAATTATGATATAAAGATGTTACATGTTAAATTATTTTAATAGGCTAGAATGAAAAGAAGAAAATATGATGATAAAGTATATAGTACAAGACATATTCGTCGATTGGCAAAAAAACAAACTGATGAGGATTTACGTAATATTGCTGCAGCAATAGAAACTTCAGTTTCTTTGCCATCACATGTTACAAGCGAACCACAAACTTCAAGTACAGATAAAACAATAGAATGCAAACAATCATCAACAAATACAATTAAACAAGATCCAACTTTGGATGAAATGACAAAAGATAAATCATCTGTCAAAATGCATGCAGTTTGCAAGGTTCCTTTTTCAGATACTTCAACGGAAATTGAAGTAAATTATCATGCAGTTCAGTATTCTATAGATGTTAAAGACACCGAAATAAACGCAATTAATGAAGAATGCGACGATCATCCCATGAATACTTCTGAAAAAATAAATGATAATATTGATTGTAGTTTGAGTTGCAGTGAATCAGATGATTTATCTAGCAAAAGTTGTGACGATGAAATTGAAAATTTAAATCATGACCAAAAATTTGTTAATACGAACGATTGTGAAGGGAACATAAAAACTGAAGAAAAAATTCTTAAATATCTTCAAGTAATAAAAGGTACATATTTATATTGTTATAAAGGAGGGTGCACTAAATTTAATTTAATTTTTTACTGATAATGGGATTTTTTTATTACAACTTAATTAAAATAACATACGAACTTTTACGAAATCTGTTTTTATTTACTCATTTCTATACGTAGCATCATTGATTATTAGATTTATGAAATTATAAGCTATTGAAATTAGGTAAAGAAATCAATTTAAAGTAAATATTCAAAGTGAGCATGATATTTTTATTCTAATAATTGTACTGTACTCAAAAATTTCATGAAAAATTATAATTATTTTCGTTATCCTTTTAATTATACGATTTAACTCAATTTTAATGTAAGCTATAATGCTAACCTAATTTATTTGCAGAAGCACAGAAGATATTGCTACAACGTTTAAACAAAATTGATGGTTCAGTAAGTAATTTACAACGAAGAATAAAAAATTTTAAAAGTAATAGAATACAGTAGGAAGCATCCAGCACGGACTTGTTCGATGATGGTAGAATGTTTGTAGAGTCTTTCTTTCCTGTGGACAATAAAGCAAAAAAAATGGAGGTCACAGAAGCAGCTTTATTAAAGAAGAAAAATGCTTTAGCTTTGGTAATTGTTTATTTATATAATAGTATAATATTAAATAACTAATAAGAGAGGAAAATCATTTACGAACGATGGGGGTGCCATGAGCGCATCGAGTGAAACCCACATTGTGCATGATGATGTCCCTTTCTCACGAGTTGTTCATAACATATTTTTTACAGCGTGCGTGAATTTTGGATTTTCGTACGTCCGAAACTTCTTGTTTTTCTCGCACGCTAAACACGAATAAGAAATCAAATAATCCGAGATGCAGCTGCACGATTAGTGCACTCATCGAGTTTTTGCTAAAAACCTAATTTTTACGTATATTTATGATTAGAAGAATATATATCTACCAGATTGACTATCAAAATGTGGCCGCTAGTATTTTTAATTAAATTATTGTTAATTAATTTTTGGGAACAAAATTCATTCACTTGTTTTTTAAATAAAATATCCATTTCACGGCAATATATGTAAAGACTTTGAAAAATTACGGTTGCTGTTGCGCACTTGGCCGCACCTCTTCGTAGCCAGGTGTAAACAGGTATGATTTTTTAATACATTTATACCCTCATAATGAACATTTATTATTTGTATATCAAATTAAAGCTAATTTTTTTCTGTTTTTTATGATGTACGATTATGATGTACTAATAAACATAATACATGATAGCTTTCTTCTAAAAAGACAGATTTTTACAAATGAAGGTGAAGTTATACAATTTTTTAATTAAAATTTCATTGTTTTAAAATGATGACAGGTAGCCAGGTTAATTTATAAACAAAAAGAGAAAAGTCATTGAAAAACGAGGTATTTACGCGTTGAAGAACGTCGTTTGGGCATGCGTTGACGATCTGACAACATCGCACTTTGAAATGTAAGAAAAATTGAAAACAGTTAAAATTAAAATACAAACATATTAATATGTTTTATATTGCGATGTGGCCAGATTTCCGATACCAGGGTCGTACATATACATTCACTTAAGAAGGGCGAATGTGGATTTTACCAATTTTTGTATTTTTAAGTTTATTTATGTATGAATTTTTTCATTTACAAGTCAATTATATCTCTAAATAAAAATTGAACCATAAATTTAAATATTAATTGAATAAAAATTAAAGCCCTCTTGGGGCCCCTGGCTAAGTACGTTACCCAACGCTCGAACTACCTTAAGTAGTCCATTATTGCACCGTTCTTTATTAAAATGCACTACTGATGTTACAAACGCAGCAAAAATGTAAATGGGTGCAATAATGGACTATCGATATCACGAGTAGTCATGATAGAAAATTTATGCCACCGGTGCTATAAAATTTTGTACGATACTCATGAACTAAGAAGCTCATCGTTGTACGGCGAGATTATGTCACTCGTTCTGCTACGTTACGCTCGTATTGTGTACTAGTCGTGCAAAAAGAGCTAATTAGATCACATGTATCGTAATGTACTATTTTACAACGTGCAGCAAACGTTGTAAAATAAAGTACGAATACATAAAAAAAAAGGTGGAGGAAACTTAATACCGATATATTGGCAGCTGTTTTCAGATTTTTAGCTGAATAAGGAATCTTAATTTGTTTGATTGTTTCACATTAGGTACCTCATTTTAAAGAAAATTGCGCGCTCTTTTTCGATCTCCGCTATTGATTTTTAAATATATTTTTATATAATAAGCAATAACAGTTAAGAAATGAAAAAAAAGAGTATTAAAAATTTTTTCATTTTTTATACTTCGTAATGACCTTAAAAAATGTTTTTCTTTGTTAATATGTAAATAATTTTAAAGAAAATTTTACACTCTCTACTCCTGTAATTGGTTTTTGCAGACAAAGCTTTAAGTGCTTCAAAAAGGCATTAATAAGGCCCTTAATGTGGTCTGATCTCAATCAAACAAATGGAGGCCTTTTCGATTTTGAATAAAATGAGCCGTATAACTTTCACGCACGCACGCATGCACAGACACACACACAGACAGATATCACCACTTTGGTTACGTAATTTACTTACATTTTACAAAACATGGATAGAATAAATATAAATAATAATTTTACCATTTATAACTTTTCAGTAGATATAATAATATTATTTTCAACTCTATCATCATTTGTGCATCTTATAATTTATTTATAATAACATTTCCAAATCATAAAAGTCAATTGTGTATCAACTTGATATATTATTAACAATTTTACAGATTACTTTTATAAAATCTATTGGCGGCAAAAATGCACGAGATGGCATTATTACAATTTTGTCAAGACTCGTTACAGATAGGGTTTTAGTTGAATATTCCTATAAGGGTCAGGGAAAAAGTATTATAAAATAACGAATAGACCCAACAAGTGCTTCAAGGATCTTATGATATGTAAATGCATTTACGGTATGTTGCTTTAAATTCTAATGAATATTCTTTCAATTTTAAGTATAAAATGATAATTTAATATATGTTATTATTGTGTATGTATTGTCACAGAGGCCGTACAAAAAAAATACAATGGAGTTAACGAAGAAATAATGAAAGAAAGCGTTTCTTCCTGGCTCGATTCAGCTGGAACACGACTTAGAAAGAAATCTAGAAGGTAATTTATTCATTTCTTTAAATTTAGCATTTTGCAAAAAAAGTTGATAAATTATTTAAACTTTTCTTTTCACATTTCACTAGATTTTAACTGATGTGATTTCGCACTTTTATGTTTGTATCATATCTTTCTCAATAAATATATTTAAATAATAAATTTTGTAACGTAGATAAAAAATGATTTTAACAAAAGTTGTGAATCGTATTTTATGTAATGACATATGCAAAAAGCGTTTTTCAAAAAACAGCTGTACGTGAAAGCAGATTTCACGCACGGATTTATGTAAAAACATGAATTAATAGTGCGAAAATTAATCATTATTTTGATTGTAACTTTTTATAAATTCCTCATACATGAAGATAATTTATAATATTAAAAGAATCCATTTGTTTTTGTTACAGTTCTTCCACAAGTAAAGGTTTCAAACCATTAGAGTTAAGCGCACTCTATGATAGTGACACTGATTTAAAATAGTTATTATTTTATTTTTTAGTTATTTATATAGTTTTCAGTTTTTTATATAATTAAGTCCCTGTGGAAAAAATACATGTATTTTTTTAAACAAATGTAGCTTTGTTTAAATGTATGTAGCATTATTTATTGAAAACAAGAAAATTTAAAAAATTTTAATTTTGTAATTTTGCTTTGTACTTAAAAAAATAGAATCATTAAAAATAAATGAAAAATGGCAAGTGTATCTTTAGTTTGATTTTATTTTTTATATTATGTAATTGTAATAAAAGCTAATTCTATCAACATAATTTAATTTAAAATATTAAAATTATCATTGAAATGTTTTTCAAACAGAAATTTATGGTCATTATACATTTGTATCAATTTTAACATTTGAAATGTAGGTGATAAAAAGAAATCAAAGTATAGTGGGTATATGGTAGGTTTAATCACCTGTAGGAAGTTATATATCTGTACACACCTTTCATGAAATAATGCAAAACATTTCAAAAATCCCATGCTGCAAGTATCTGGTGCTAACATTTTTACTACAACAATATTTTTTGAAAGCTTTCTGAACGATATTTTGAAACATTTGAAGTAAATGTTTTAAAAATATTTTACAAAGACTTATGAGTAATTTTAAATACAGTATAAAAGTATTATAAACATATTTCAGAAATATTTCAAAAATATATCTATAAAAATCATTTCGAAAATATTTCAAAAACCTTTCAAACATATTTATAGAAACCTTTAACAAAACATGACGATAAGGTTTCAGAAAATCTTCCAAAAACCTTTTTCGAAATCTTTTACAAGTTTTTGAACGCGGACATTTTTACCTTGTAGAAAGATTTTTTAGAAACCTTTTTGAAAGACTTAAAGCTTTCCAAGAAATGTTTTAGAAAATTTTTAGAAAGTTTTTATGTTATGTGGGTAGTGCAAAATTTGTGTTTGGCCGGATATTTATGAAAAACCAAAAATTGTTATTCTTGTTATAAATAATTATGAATTGTTATATATAATTGTCTAATTACATGGTTTTATAACAAAATAAAAATAGTTTACGATGATATATTTGGATTTGCATTTTGCACCCTTTATATGTTACATAATCAAAAAATTATGTTTGGCCGGATAATTTTGCATGCTTCAGATTGTTTCTATATATATGCATTGGTTTAACTCTTGAAGTGCACATTTGATAAAAGTTAGTTAAAGTGTACTGTGGGTGTTTGACACCCCAACGTGTTTGAACGCGTCTCCTGAAGCCGCTATTTAATATTTAGACCTCGCCATTTTTTTAAAAGTAGTTTGATACGTCCTTTTTAAAATAGAATAGGTTTTATACCCATCTGAATTAACACTAGATGGCGACAAATAACCTATTTTTTCGAATTCAGTACCGTTTTTGAGAGATCAAAAATTTGTTGGGTTATCAAACACCCCATGTGCACTTGAAGAGTTAAACATTTCATATGTTTTAACGTTCATTAAATAAAAAATAATTTTAATATACTATAAATTTATGTTTCTTTTATCGATTACAAATGAAATTTTCACGTTACTTATAATTATTCTGAAAATAATGAATAGAAAAAAGATAATGTTGAATAAAAACAGTATCTCATAGCATAGAAGATTATGTAGAATGATCTTCGTGTGAATCGTGTATAAAAGTTATTGTAAATATATTTAAAACAATGTACATCTTATGCATCTCTAAAAGTATTTAAATTGTAAGGATTCTTTATCGATACAAATTTTGGCAATTTATTCTTTCATATGCTGCATTTCATATTAGGCATTTTTATATCAACAATTCTCTTTTATACGATTGTATTCTTTTGTGCTAAATGACAAAGTTTTCTTAATGTCTACATTGTCTTTATTCTATTCATTATTTTTAGAATATTTATAAGTTACGTGTTCATTTATTAGAAAAATAGAAATTATTTTTAATTTATTTAATAAATAAATTATCGTATGTAATTTGATTAGCGTGGTCATAAAGAAGGTCAGATTCCATTCGTGTAAGAAGTTGTGATTGGTCATTTCATATTCAAAAAATTCAAAAAACTGAATTATCCAATCAAAACCAATCCGTCGTTCGTGTTTTTTAGTTTTTTGGCGTCGTTCGTGGAGATCACATCGGAGTGTCATTGTCCCATTAAGATCAGGTAATTAAAAGACAATTTGTAAGGTACACATCTTTCTATTACAATATATAAAGGATATAAGGATCCATTTTGATTTTTTGAGTATATTTTGACAATTTTTATGCTCCTATATTGTATTTTTAATCATTCGATATTTTTCTTTATTATAGGTGGAAAAAAGAAGTACTGCGCAATATTTTCGCGCATTATTTTCGCGGCAATCTTACTCGCCTGTTTTATGCACAGCAATATGGCGAATCTTTCGAATCTTTTAATCTGTCATTTGTATACTTGATGCAGCGGATTTTGTCATCTCATTAATTTCAGGTTATTTTTTCAAATAATTCTCTAAATTACATCTTCCTATTATCAAATGATGTTATATATCAAATAATATATCACGGTCTATAATGAAATGATATATAAAAAATGTTATATACCAAATATTATATACCAAATGATAGCTACATGCAAAATTTTTATACGTGAGTTTTTTCATATTTTACTTATTTTTAGCTTTCTAAACATTAAGAGAGTTACATTACGAATTCACATACCTAATCTTTTTACCTTGTGGCAGCTCTTTTATCTTCTCTATATACGTCGAGGTGAGCATTATTTTTTTAAGTATATTTGGCATATAGAAATACTACAGAAAGAGTGAGAGAAATTGAGAGTGAGTGAGAAGGAATGAGAAGGAGTGAGAGTAAGAGAGAGGAAGAATAAGAAAACAATACACACTACATATAGGCTATTATAAATGTCTATGTATATTTCCAGGTATTTCTCGAGTCGACTACAAAACGTAAACATTTGATAACATAAGTATAATAGCCAAGCGTTCGACACTCCTAAGGTCTCCTCTACCAAGGTTATGTAGTAACGTACTTCCTATTCGCCTTCTATCCTTCAACAAGACAACATAAACGAAAATGAGGCGTATTAAATTAATTAATAATTTTATTTCTAACGTTATCGTTTTGATTTTAATAGTTAAAAAAGTTTTTCATTGCACAGAATGGTATAAGAACTGGTTTATTATTTTTATGTTACTCTTTATTGAGTTTGCTGATATAATTACTGTTTTATAGACAACTTTAAATATTTTTAATTAATATTTTTATTAACATTACATACTTGGTATGTAATTTAGTAAGCAAATAGTTGCATACTTTGATAAATTTTAATATTTAATAATTTTAACTTTTAATTATGTCAATTCTCAGATTATTAAATTATTTTTTTCTATTTACTATTTTCTATTTTATTTTATATTAATTTTATCAAAAATATTCAATGGTTTTATTGTGTGTCCTGAATTCAGAAATAATTTAGAGGAAATATTGTAATATAGTCTTTAGTATGTTTCAGCTTTTTAGATTTTTTATTTAATTTTATTTTATGCATCGTCATTATAAGGGTAGGATACCCATCCTGCAGTCATCAACGAAGACTAAAAGTAAGTACATTTTACTATCAAACATTACTATGATAATTTCAATGGGTTTTTATTACGACGATTATATTAATTGTTCTTTTTCTTTTTCTGCTTCAGGAGATCATTGCAACCGTGCGTGAAGGCAATGACTTACTCGCGTGTTGTATCGTTAAAATAAAATATAAAAAAGTCGACAAGTAGATTCAGTGTTGATCGTCGCATATTAAAGTTTCGTTTGCTCGGTTAAGAAACTCGTAAGTTTCTTTTACTCTGTTTAAACCTGTGCTCATCGTCATCATAGGGGTAGGATATTCATCTTGCATTCATCAATGAAGAATAAACGTAGGACAATTTTTATATTAAACATTTTTTCAATAATTATAGTAATTTTTATATAACAACGATTTATATAATCTTGTTTTTATTTGTGTTTCAGATCATCATTGGAATGGTATTAACATTTTATTAATTAAATTCATTTACAAATTCATTTAACACTAGATTTGTTCGCTATTATTTTGTTCGCTATTTTTAAAAAATTTACAAACATTGTTTGAATGAAAAAATKGGTAGAGGAGAGGAATTAATATTTACGTACATTTCATTACAGCATTAAAAATTAACATATATTTAAAAAATATATATATTCTATATAAAAATGAATTAAACTTAAATTTTATTAAATTAAAATTAAAATTAATTAAAATATTTCTATTTTATATACGTAGGTTGAAACTTAAATAATGGCAACTATTTATTCACAACCGATACAAAAGACTTACATGTTTGCACCTGTTTCTGTTCTTTTAAGTAATCACCAGCGTTGTGTACCCGTTGCCAGCGATATGGAAGGCGTAGTATACCGTCAGCAGAGCTTGTTCTGTTGATTTTTTTGGTTTTTTGGTTTGAAAAAGGTTGTTTATTTTTAACATTGTCAATATACATAAGTAGGCAATAAACGACCTTACAACAGCTTAAACACTATAATATCTAATATATAAAATTCTCGTGTCACAGTTTTCGTTGCCATACTCCTCCGAAACGGCTTAACCGATTTTGATGAAATTTTTTGTGCTTATCCGGTATCTATGAGAATCGGCCAACATCTATTTTTCATCCCCCTAAATGTTA